TTGCTAAGCTGTAGAGCATCAGAAGTCAGTTTTTACCTAAATCTGACTAAAAGTTCAAGGCCACAGAGGCAAATGGTGGAGGAATTTTGTGTTGTTCTGAATTATCCCAGGAATAAAGTATTCTCTGGAAAATCCAAGTGAAGTATAAGTAAAGTAAAGGCCATTTTTTTCCCCTGAAAACTGACATTTTAGCAATATAGGCATGTAGTATGTGTTGTGTTGTGTTACAAATTATGGGGTCATTGTTTTAAAAATTACAGACCATTTTCAACATCTGGTCTTCAGTCCACTTAATAGTGGGCCAGAAAGAAGCCTGTTCGTTCTAGGGTGTTGGAAAAGAACTCTAATGACTTCCAGACCTAGAGAAACCTTTGTGCTGCAGCTGCTTATCAGAGGAGGGGGTGGAAGAAGATGTCTTTATATTTTGTGAGTGGGGCCCAATCTTCTACTACCTATAGTAAGGTTCCCATCATATTGGTGCCTTCAGAATCTTAAAAGGCCTCGAAGCTATCAAGAGTTGATGTTAAGGTAAGGTTAAAAGTGACAAATTATGAAATAATTGAGCTTACTTGTTTTTATGTAAATCCAGTTGGAAGCATTACAAAGAGAGCCTCATTTTTTAAGAGGATAATATACATTTGTCCTGGTGGGTGCTAATTTATTCTGCTTTGGAAACATTATTATAGGGTTAGTCACCTTTACAAAACAAGATTCTGCTACTAAAAATTTAAGCATTACCATATTTTGCTATGTATAATGCGCACCCACATTTTGGGTCTAAACTTCCAGGGGGAAAAATCTTTCATTTTAATTTTTTAATTCAAATTTTTATTTGTTTACATTTAGATACTTTTTTGTATTTTAAAGGAATTTTAGCATTTATTTTTTGACATGGTACAAGAAATTTTATGTAACAAATAATTACAAAACACAAGAACAGATACATGGTACAAGAAATTTTATGTACCAGTAACAAATTTACGATATTTATGCATCATAGAAGGCCAAGAACCCTTTGTCATTGCAAGTTCATCGTTAAGTTCAACAAAACCGATTATGGCATTCCAGGGTATTATTTTGCATATAGGTATCGTTATTGAATTCTAGAGTTACACTTTCAACTCATAAGCATAAATAAAGGAATTAAAAGCATTTATATAAATACAGAACTAGTACTACCCATGCATTATATGCATCCTTATTTTTTCCTCACAAATCTGGGAAAAAGGTGCACATTATATATGATATTTATACAGTAAATTTACTGAAGATGGTGAGCCTACATGTCAGCTGCCATATATTAAGAGCCTTCTCTTATACTAAGCACTTTAAATGTTATTGCCAATTCTACAACTACCCTAAAAAAGATTGTTGTCAATTTTACAGATGAGAAAACTTGAGGTTTAGAGAAGTTAAGTAACTTTCCCTGGGTCACACATTTAGTAAGTAGCAGAATCAGGATATGCGCCTCGGCCTGCTCTGTCCAGACCTTTCCCACTACTCTACGCAGCCTGTCCTGGCACTTGGCCTTTCCAGTGGCATGCTTCCACCTTCCAAATACAAATGACGTATTTATGGTTAGGAAATAGTGTGTATGTATACACATGTATATATGTGTATATGTAAATACATTTTCTTTTTAATAAAACATTTTTAAAATGTATTGTATCACACGCAATAATAGTAACTTGGTCAGCAGTACAACTTGGCATTAGGTGTAGCACTACGGAATCATTACTTTACTAGAAGACTACAGGCTGCTTCATTATTTATATGGCTTGTACTTGCACCTGATTCTGTCTCCTATTACTCCCACTCAGATTCATTAACACCTTGGTGCTTCAGACAAATTAATTTGTATTAAACATTTCTAGAAACCAAGGCTCTTTACACTAGTGCTCTAAAAGATATTTTTATTCATTCTGAGAGAGTTTACTGATAATAGGTTGTAGGAAGTATTGAGTTCTATGCTGAACAACAAAAAAATAAAAGTGACTTGAAGAATTAAGAGAAAGGAGAGAAGAACGTCAGTGAGTGAATGTGGAAAGAGGACAGGTCTAGGGAGGTAACGTAAGACCATCCTCTAATTCTAGCCATCAGTCCGTTTCATTAGCCCCTTCTATCCAAAGTCAGAAAATGGAGGCACAGAGTAAGTTTATGCATTTGAAGTTATGAGGCATGTGAATTCCTTCTCTTCACCTCTTCCCCTAAGCACACACACAGATAGTATTAAGTAATTGGGATGTGAGAATGAAAGTGTGTCCAAACGCAATTTTTTCCCCTGCATTTTGTGTGGATATTGTAGAAATTGCTTTGATGTCCCTGTTTTTCATATTTATACCTTTTCATTAGATGAATATACTCTTTATATGATTGAAAAACTTAAGAACCGCCATATGCTTTCTGCTATGTAGCCATTATGAGCCAAATATTTAAAATATATTTTTAGAATTTTAACTGTGTACATAAGATGTTACAAAAATTTTTATTATAAATCTGAGATACACAAACATGCTTTTAATTCTAAAAGGAGTAAAAGAAAGCTGATTAGTGTAAATCATTGCAACTACCAATTTTTGAAGAAAAATAGTCTTATATAAAATGTCTACCCTATAACAATTTTGAAAGTACAGAACAAATTTGGCCCCTTAACATGATATGTATTATATATTTGGAATTCTTGTATTTGTATTAGATCTAGTACTAATTTGGGAATGGCATTGTTTTCCTCAGTTCAACAAATAATTTCGCATCTGTTCTCCAAGGTGCTAACATGGAGGCGTCTGGTTTGGACTCTGATCACACCTCTTCTTTCACAGTTTGAAATCATTCAGTATTAACAATCCAGTTGTCAAGAAAAGTTTCTCTTCCAATTTCAGTGATGAAGAACGATACAGATACAGGGATTATGCAGAAAGAGGTTATGAACGTCACAGAGCAAGTCGAGAGAAAGAAGAACGACATAGAGAAAGACGACACAGAGAGAAAGAAGAAACTAGACACAAGTCATCTCGAAGGTTTGCTCTTTAATAAAATAGTGAATTTCTTTGAAGCTAAGAGAGAAACAGATTTGACTTCAGGAAGTAAAAAGTAAAAACAAACATTTCCCAATAACCAGTAGAGCATATGTGTTCCTAATTGGAAGATTGAGAATAATTTGTTGAAATGGTTCCTTATAGGCTTCAAAAAAGATGTTTAAATCTAACAAGACTGTTTAATACCCATAAACCAAAATTAGCATGGAATATAAAATAATATATGAGAGGATTTGACTCATTACATTATCTTATTGGGACAGGGGGAAATCTGGCATATGAGCCAGTCTGTAATAGTAAGTATAATCAAAGAAAATTCAGGACCTTGTAGTCTCCAGAAAAAAAATCAATGTTAAATTTTAATGCTTATTGTTTGCTTAAAATCAACCCTACAAAGTATCTCCTGTTCTGACTTAGTGCTTCAATTTCTCATTTGTAATTCAGAATAAAGTATATGTGGCCCTGGAAATGTAGGGTAATATAGGTGAAGGTGAACCTATAATGTAAATATAATCTCAGCATAAAAAAATCACAAAAAAATTGATAACTCCCCAAAATGTGTTTGAGAAAAAGAATGGATTAAATTATTTAAAACCCAATATTGAGGATTTACCTAGACAAAGTGGACTGATTTTTGTCACTACTTATGTACTTAAACATCTTAAAGAACACAGCTTTCTTTTTCTTCAGTAATAGTAGGCGTCGCCATGAAAGTGAAGAAGGAGACAGTCACAGGAGACACAAGCACAAAAAATCTAAAAGAAGCAAAGAAGGAAAAGAAGCTGGCAGTGAGCCTCCCCCTGAACAGGAGAGCACCGAAGCTACACCTGCAGAATAAGCATGGTATAACCTTTTGTGTATATTAGTGCCAGAAATAGATGCTATAAATCTTGTTATTTTTCTGGATAATGTTGAAGAAATTTACCTTTAATCTTCTGTTAGTATGAAAAATTTTTTTCCAAAATAAAAGAGTGAATTTTTCATGTTAAGTTAAAAATCTTTGTCTTGTAATATTTTTAAAAAAGAAGACAGCAATGACTTTATATCCAAGAAAGTAATGTGAATGAGTCACTCAGCAGGGAATTGAAAGAGCTAAGTTTAGCTATGTACATTACCAGTATTTGATAAGAAAACTATGGCCAGGGTGGAACCTTGACCTTTGATTTAATCAAATACTAGGGTCTCAACAAGTTGCACTGCAAAAGGCACCTCTGAGTCTTTTATCATTACTGCTGTGGAACTGTTGCTTAGCATATTAAAGAACTCATACAGTTTTGATATCAGAACTTTTTGATAGCTGGTTTTCAGTGTTCTAAATCTGGGTTTATGGTGAAATTAAATGAGGAACTTTTATATCCAACTTAATAAAATCTAAAGGTATTTGGGGTGGCCTCTGAAATACCTTACCCTATGTGTAGTTTCTAGCAGGCACATGGACACTCGTCACTGTGACACAAATTTGAATTGCCTCATGCTCATCTATGTGAGCCAGGGTCAAGCTGGTTTGGCCTTTCTTGATGTTCTTTCCAAGGCTCATTGGTTGAGCAGCATGCAGAGTTTTTATAGTTACTAACTATTGTGAATAAAAATAAATGACAAGAGCTTTAGTCATTTCCTATTAAATCAAAGAAAAAAAACAGGTTTATAATTCTGTGAGCATTTTTAGGATTAACCTTTAGGAGGTATTTGTCAGTTATGGTAACATGGTTTTGAAAGAATTACTAGGCTCTTTTAAATAGTGATAATAGAAATGAATATAGTATCACATACTAAAAGACAACTAATTTTTGAAAAATATTTATTTCTCATTTGATAAAAGGAACATTTTTCAGCAATGCACTTTTAAAATCCTCTGGCTGTAAATTGTTTTGAAAGTACCCATAATGTAGCCTTTGCAGACCTCAACATATACCAGAATTTTTAATTTAATTGTAGGATTCAAATTCAGTGGGGGCATACAAACCATTTCAGTTGTTTGAGTTTTTTATTGAATAGAAAAATATAAACTTAAAGGCGTATTGTGAAATCCCCCACACGGAATAGAAACTATCAGTAATGTTTGTTTTGAGAATTATATTTTCTGAGGTGTAATTAGCTTTCATTAGATCGTACTTTTCCTGACATTAAAATTTACATTTTTACAATGTATCCTTTAAATACAAAAATTGACAAGATAAATATATTGTTTCAACTTAGCTTATTTGTGATTTCCTGTTTCTCTGTGACCCACCATTCTATAAAAAAGTGCCAGGCCAAGAAACAATAGTGAGAGTAATTTTTCCTTTAAGTTCTTTCAGCATTCTTGCCAAGCAAGCATGTATCATTCCTGATGTACTTCTACCATTGACAGCAAGAAGAATATCACCACATCTAAAAAAGTAAATAAAAAAAAGTCATAGGGTTAACATTTTGTTCTGTAACTGAAGTTAATGCAAGTTTTTTTGGTGGTCCTAGTTTTTGCTACTTCTGTCAATTTTAATTACTGCTAATTAATTAAGGTGTTTTTCCTTCCCTCCTCACTTAAATTCTGCACTTGCTTTGCATTCAGCTTGTGTTAGAAGGGATGCTAAAAGTATAGCAGGTTGCTGTTTGGGACTCAGAGTAATTAATCATTTTGGATTTCTTAGAAATTGAATGCTACATAAATGTGTTTAAAATCTTACCAATAACAAAAGTATAATAACATGCCTTATTTCAAGTGGGGCCAAGCTTTGACATGTATAAAACAAATTATTTGAATATAAGTTTTTTGTTAAGTAGTCATTACCTAATTCTTCCATCATTGTATGCTGGTGTTCCTTCAACAATGGATTTGATAAAAAAAGGTTTGTTCCCATTGTATTCTTCATAACCTCCTACAATACAGAAGCCCAGGCTTCCAGCTGTGTTTCTTCTCAGTATAACATCTTTACAGTTATACAGGTACCTGAAATAAAATGTGCATATATATTTGATTACATTTTAAGTTGAACTCATAGTTAATTATTGGCATTTTTTTTTAAGCTAAATAGCACTGGATGGGTCTCACTCAAAATTGTGTCATAGCCCATTGATCTTTGTGATTTAGCTGGTTATTTCTAATTGAGCTTCTGTTTTCCATAGCTAAACATCCTTAAGAAACAAAAAAATGATACCATCTGCTTTGTTTACCGTATTTGCCGGCGTATAAGACGATTTTTTGGCCCTGAAAAATATGCCTCCAAGTGGGGGGTCATCTTATACGCCAGGTACACTTCAGATAGACTGCCCATAGCGCTTGCCCCGTGCCATAGTGGCCTCCTGATGCCCGCCCACTTCATTCCACATACCGTTCAGGCATCAGCAGCGCTGCTGGGTGTATGCTCGGCTGTTATGCGATTTTGCTGTTATGCGATTTTACCACACTCGCAAAATCGCACACAGCCGAACATACACCCAGTATGATAGCGCAAAATCGCGAATCGCGATTTATGTATATGTTTGATTACATACAGCCTTGTGACAGTTTTCCTGCATGTCATAAGCATTTGAATATAAATATAAATGTTGAAATCAAATCTGATATTGTTTTACCTTTTATTTGGTGTGTGGAAGGTGTGCGGAAGAGGGGGTAGTCTTATATGGCGAGTATATAACAAACTCTGTATTTTGAGTGGAAATGTTAGGGGGTCGTCTTATACGCCCAGTCGTCTTATACGCCGGCAAATACGGTATATGTCTACTGGGAGAGAATCATTTTTGGCTTAAAGATTTTAATGCCTCAGTTTTTATTAAAAAGCTGAACATGCCTAAATTTTTACTGGTGAACCAAATTCAAGCATACTTATGGATGTCATATTTTACTTGCAGTTATAAATAATTTTATTGAAGGCAAAAATTCTTTGAATAAATTATTAATCTCAGTGAAAAAATGTATGCCTTCTCTAATTAATTTGCTGAAATTTTTACTTTTGAAAAATATCAATTCATATGTAGCTCCACATACTTGATAAAGGTTATATAGAAGCATGCAGGCATAAAGTAAATGAAAATTGTACATTTAAAGTTTAAGAAGGATTCATATTGGAGAAGAGAAAACTGGCAGTAAATGGAATAGCAGGTTATAAAAGAAATGGGAGAAGGAAAGACCATAGGTCTTCGGTAAATGAGTAGCGCGTCCCAGCTAAAATAGAAAATTAGACTGAAGAAATTATTTCTTTTACTATTCAGTGGCAGTTGGATAGTGTTAACATAGGTGCAGGCTAAGCAAACTGTGTTAGAACAGAGATATGTCAGGAGATGGATTTGACTCTAAAATCCCCCAGTCTAGAAACTGGTTTGAAAGAAAATTAACATTTTCATGTTGGTAAAAATCAAGATAATGATTGTTTTGTTTATAAGCTGTAACTTAAAATAACTACTTTTTGAAAAACCAATAAACAATTTCTTGTGAAATTTTTTGTAAGTGATGAAGTTGGTCATTAACATTTGTTAAACTGTAAATTTAAATTTAAATGTGAGATTTTTTTCCTCTTTTGAACTCACTCTCTAAATGTAGGCCTAATTGAAGAAGATTTGGCTAGTATAAAGATTAGCAAGGAGTTTGGTAATTTGTACAAATAAGAAAATTATGATTATCTCAAAAATAATTTAAACTCCATTGAAAGGAGTTGATGAGTATGGTGAAGCTTGGATTGCTCTTTAAGCTATATATGTTTTTTGGTCTTTCACTGGCTGCTGCTGCTCAGGCTCCTTCAAGGGCTCCATTTTCTTCAACCCACCTCTCAGTGGACCTCCATATTTCACTTGAGCCTCTACCAAATTATGTGCCTTTCAGGGTCTGAAGATCCAAAAATACTTTTATCATAATAGTAAGACATTTGACTTTTTGCTCTTTTTCATATAAGCATACAGTGGCATTTTCCAGAGAATACGTGATAGGCCATCTGGTAACAGATTACGTCTGTTGAGCAAAATCCAACCTGTATGGGCAAGAGCAAAGAAGTACTTTCCCGAGGCAAAGTGACAAAAGTGGAGGGAGAGAAAGCCATTCATTTGGCTGTGTTTGGAGTAAAAAGCATCACACATTTGTTCTGTTTTACACGAACCTTGATTATATAACAAGTAGCTTTCAAACAAAAAATAAAATGATCTATATTGATAGATTGCAGTTTCAAAAAGATTTTTAAAAATAAAATCAGTTAAAGTAACACTCTTCTTATACCCAGACTCCATTTTAAAATGTTGAAAGATTTAAAAACTACCTCAATGCTCAGTTTTCAACTGTTTAAAAATGTACTCATTTAAAAGTTATCAGTTAGTGAAGGCTCAGAAAGGAATCTAGGTCTGTTTGTTATTTGAATCAGGGATTTTTTTTTTAAAACCTCATTTAAAATTTTGAAAAAAGAATGAGAGAGACCCATCCTATCTCCACCCTCAAGAAAAATGTACTAAAACCAAACAGCCTGTTTTCATTCATTTAATCCTCACCAGCATTTCATCTTCAGTGACTCTAATATTGAACATTTCAATCATCCATTTGGAATTAGTAAAACAGTCTTTTCAAGGCCAAGAGTTTATGCTCTGATGTAGGTGAGCAAACCCCAATTGATGAGTATCTGTCCTCTGAATATTTAATTTTTGTATATAGCCATTTAGCAAGGCTACCCCAAATCCTTTCCTGAAGTGTCTATAGGAGACAAACGGCTTCACTGTAACACTCTAGTTACATCTCACTAAAATGAAAACCCAGCTGATTCCTGAAGTTTTCTACAAGCTTCACAAGCGTAGGAGCTGGGGAGGGAGAGGAGATCTGAGCCGTGTCCTCAGTCAGCACACGCTTCAACACAGGAGGGAAGGCACAGTGCTCTGCGTTGTTATGTGTATCTGGGGCTGCTTGAAAACTAGAGGTAACACCACAGAAGGGAGTCCCTCCAGGCAAATGCCCAGGGCTGCCACTAGCAGATCAGGGCAGGGCGAATCTGCCCTTGCTCCATGGTGTGTCTGTGAACACAGGCTGGATTTCCGCCTCCTGTCTGTCAGCTAAGCTCCCTGCTGCATGGACAACCAAAACAACTGTTTATGGCAGCCCTGTGAGCCCCTCAACGTGAATGCCTAATGTATCCATGTCCAGGCTTTCGTTCCTGCCCTAGGATTTTTGCATGCATTTTCAGACAATTATTTCAAGTAGTCCCACGACCAAGCCTGGGGTTCATTAAGATGCTGGTGCCATGAATCAGCCCAAGAGAGTGGAAGAGTGGTCTAAGAAATGCACTTGTTTTCCTCCCACACCTCCCCAAGGATGTCACATTGGGACTCACCGTGGTAATTTCAGCCACATGACCCAGGAGGGAGACCAGTCGCCCGGTGGGGCCCTGTTGTGGTTGGAGTCCAGGGCTGTTGGGCTGCTGCTGTCTTCCTGGGGCTCACATTGTTTGACTTCCAAAGCTTTAAGAACCACCGAGGAGGATGTGCTTTTTAATAATGCAACGGCCTCACTCCGGCTGACCTCTGTTAGTTCAGTCCCATTCACATTCAGCAAAATATCACCTAATGACCAGAGAAGCAGAAGCCACCCTTAGTGAGAGTGCAAATAGGAACTGCATACAGTGCAAAGGGGCAGGGACATACTGGGATGTGGGGAAGTAGGGAGGGGCATGTCATTAGACTCTTGGATTGACATGAGGCTGGGTTCTTGGCAAATGGTGAACTATGTGTATGTCCCAAGATGTAAGTAAGTCATGTATGGAGGTTTCTAAAGCGTACCCATTAGCATTTGGCTCTTGACGAGGGAGGGAGGGAGGGAGGGAAGGGACAGGAAGCAAAGGAAGATAAATGGGCCTCATTTACCATTTAGTCCAAATCATTTTCACTCCTTTTTTGTTCCCTGTTTATAGCACAAAGGGAGAGCACTTGGCAAAAGCTCCCAGCATCTGCACAGAGTGTAGTGTGTGATAGGCACCCTTAATAAATAGGATTTGAATGACTAAGAAACTGCCCCTGAGTATCTGGCAGAGGCGTCTATAGCAGTTATGAAAAGTGGGCCGGCAACCGTTCTTAGAGGTGGAAAGAAGGGTTAGCTTTTCTATTCATTGCAAAGGTACTAAGAATGGCCATTTATGCACCTATTATGTGCTAGACCATTTTCATACATCGTATCTTATCATCCTCTGCTCATGTTCTCTCACAAGTACTTCTTGATTGACCTCATTCTTCTCCACCCGCATGCTTGGGTGAAAAAAGCAAGAAAAACTAAAATACATACCTCCCCACCTCCATTTTCTATTCTTTTATCTCTCTCCTGATTTTCTGCTTCTGAATATTATCATTTTTACACAGAATAACCATAGCAAGAGTAAAAAAGATAGGAGGAGAAAGGTGAGGAAGGCCTCACGTCCTTCCTGACTCCAAAAGAAGCGCCTTTAGGTTGGCCGACTGACTCCCTTTACATGCCGTGACCCTGTGTCTCCACAGGCTGAGCAATTGTATTTCAGAAACTTCACATTTCATCTTTGAATGTGAATCCTTAAATGACATAATTGCTCAAGCATCCAAGCTACCCTTCATGTGAATTGACAATATTATTAAGGATACACATTTGACGTCTTCATTCAAAATAGCCCAGGACACAAAAGATTAAAGTGATGAAATACTTTTCACCAGTGGGAAAGTACCTATAGCATGGCACTTTCATTTATTGGGTTGTCGGAAAAGTCATGACATTTTTTCTATGCTTTTCGTTATAAAAATGTGTCATGACTTTTCTGACAACCCAATAATATTCATTTAAAATCCATCAGCCTCCTAACAAATTATTTTTTCTACCCAACCCACAAAATGGAACAATTCATGGATAGTTTCATTACTGGATCAATCCAGCAAAGAATCATTTAGAATAAGTGGAACCAAATTATGCCATTTAACTAAGGCAACTTGCTCATAACTAGCATTTTCCTATTCTTGGCATAGTTTACAGGTACTTGCTTTACTAGCAAGCATTGTGGCGCCCACATCAACCCACATGAGGAGGGAGGTGTTCAGCCACTATACTCAGTCCAACCATGGTCAATGGGTATCAGATGTCCTGGCCAGATCCCCCTTGCATTCTCTTGTTAATCCTGGAAACAGTTACTTAACCCCGTAAGCTGCTAATTCCTTTGAACGCTCTGCTGCCCTAGAACCTTACGTCTCTTTACTTTTTACCTGTTTTTATTCTTCCATCTCTGCTTATGACGCCTCCGGGCTCAACACTGATGACATAGATGGGCAAATCCCACTCCCTGTGTGACGCTCCTCCTGCAACGGTCATGCCGAGAGACTCACTGGGGTCTTTCCGGACACTTACTACCTTCTCGTGACAAGTGACTGCAGGATGGAGGGGCTGAAGGCACAGAACAACAAACATGGCACATCTTTCACAAATGTGTTTGTATTTCCTACACAAACTACCAAAATTGCATAAATATATGATGGTGGTGCTTGGTCTCAGAGAAAGACATGCAGAGAACCCTTGTTTTGCCCCCCACCCTCAGAGTTATATTATCCCAAAATCCATAGGCTGACTCAGGAATTTTACCTTTCAAACAGGACCAGTAAAAAGGAAGGAGAAACAGGTGGTAGACCACTGTGGAAATACTCAGCATACAAAGTGAACGATACCCCAAAATTTTTCAAGTGACTCATTTATTCCTGTTAGTAGTGAGTCAACGTTTCATAAAACTTGTCATTTATGAATATCAGGAATTTTTCTAAGTTAAAAAAATAATCATTTTAATTAAATTGTCCCAGTTTAATTTATGTAGGTAATCAATTATAGAAATGCTCAAAGAAAAATAATGGATTTCATAGATATACTCTTAAAAACTCCCTAGTGTCTAGGTTCCTCCCAGTTGGCATCTTTACTCTAGCATTTCTAAATAATATGCAGTCAGTTGTACGCTTTCATTTTATTACATAAATATAAATATATTAAATATAAATATAAAAGTACAGTATGCACATTGTAGAGTATACACTGTGGACCAAGTTTTGAAAAGTTAAGAACTGATTTTGATTCAACACTAGACTAAAAACACGCAAAGCTACATGCAGCATTATCTTGAAGCAATGACAGTAGGTCAAGGGCACTGTTTGTTGAATGCATATTAATATATGCTTTTCTAAAAATGTGTTCTGCCTGCTGGTGCAATGACTGACCTCTATGGGGCTTAGACAGTGGGCATATGCACTACAAATAAATACAACCCTTGATCAAACCTCAAGTCTGTGGCTCAAAACATAGCTTACAGTTGTATCTGAGGAAAGAAAATTTTAAAACGTCTGATTAAAAAAACCAAGATACAGAACAAAGTGTAAGTATACTACCTTCTGTTTTAAAAAAGAAATGAGGAGTTTCATTTTCATGAACTTTGGAAGAAAAAGTGGTGTATGGGAGTACAGGTGGAACTGGATAGATCAGGGAAGGTGAGAGACGACTGAATATATACTTTCCATTTGAACCCTGTGAAAATATTATCTGTTCAACAAATCAAATGAGTTATAATTAAACTTCTGTAAATCTGATGGTTGACATCATATTACCTGCATACACGGGGTCAATTTTAAATGCATCGTTATGAAGCAACATAAGCCTGGGCTTTTCGTGCACTTAACCACCTCGTGGTTTCCTAAGTTAGCCATGTCTGTTTTAATGGCCTTATTGTATGCAGTAATGACATATTACTGTATCTTCAGCACAGAACACAACATTTAGCACATCGAAGATGGTAAGTATCATACATGTGTGTAGAATAAACAGATGGATAAATTGCAAATTGCTACAAATTATGTTTGGTAGTAATAGAATAATAAATCACAAACGATGAATAATTATGGCAAGGTATATGTTACAATTAGTCCTTGTTAGCTCTGGGTTGTGTTTATATAAACCCCAGGACTTTGAAGAGCCTTGAAGAGAATGGTTATCAGATGAGGGCTGTGAAACTGAAATAGGCCTTTCTTCAGAGAAAAGTTTCAAAATAAGTAATAGTATGAACACTGGTCCTAGCATTCCAGCTGAGGCCAAGGACTAGATTTAGAGGGGCTCTCAAGATCTATTCTAAGTATGTGACTTTTTCTTTCTGAAAAGCAATTAGATGCAGGATGTCCCTTTAATTACAAACATCTCTCAAAAGAGCCCCGCGTGGAGATGCAGGCAGTTCTGAAATGCCCCCAAATCGGCAAATGTTTTAAACCCAGAGACTCCTACTGGCTGCCCTGGTGCTTCAGCTCATTCCTGGGTATACTGGTAAAGCATTTACTCCTGATCCTCACAAAGAAGGGCTCACGCACTATTTCCACATGAGGGAGAGGGGTGTTGTAAGGGTAATTGATCAATCTCCCATGGTGATGTCTAAAACACAGCATGGGATGTGCTGAAAAAGTGCATGTGTGTGCGTGTGTGTGTAACGGTGCATGTACGCACACACACACACACTTTTTCTCATGCTTGAACAGCTGCCTAGTACTTCGTGTGGGTGTCCTATCCCCCACTGATGACCACTAAGGTTGTCTACAGTTTTCCACAAAATTAATGACACTGCGAACATCCTTAGACACACATAACTTGTGCACTTGCGTAACTATTACTTTAGGCTAATGTCCTAGAAGTAAAATGGCTAAGTCAAACAGCTGGGGCATTTTACATTTTGGTAGATATTGATAAATTACCTTTGAAACAGTTCTATCATTTGTAATCTCACCAATACATTATGAAACTGCTGATTTCCCACAATTCCACCAACACTGAGTTTTATCAACATTTACAATATTTTTCCAGGTGGGGAAAAAAGATTCCAATAATTTAATTGCCTCTCTATGTGGTAAGTTTGAACATCTGTTATTGTTATTTGGGTTTTTAATAGTAATTAGCTTATGAGATGTGTAATAACATAATCACTCAAGCTCCCGCTGACTTTGTGAAATGGGTAAGAATGCCCACATACTTCAAACCTGTGGCTAAAAGAAATGCAACCAAATGGAAGATACGACTTTTACCTGAGAATACTTTGGTTAAAAAAAAAAAGTGTTATTAAGTTCATTTGAAAGTAGCCTAATTACATCTTATGAAATATTCCAGAAGTTACACTGCCTTCTCTTCTGTCACTCCAGCTAATAGGAGTTAGTGAGGCTTTAATTATTTTGTTGTGAATAAATTTTCCTTGAATAATGTACAGATTGGCCAGGTACTCCTTTATGGAAAAGGAAGGAAATATTATCTACTTAAGTGGGTCAAGGCAGGCAAACCGACACACCATTTAAAAAAAAAAATCTGATCAATGAAACACAGATGTTAGGAAGAAAACAGTACTGAAACCCAGGACGTCTGACTCAAATCCATGCTCTCCCCACTACACCACTTAGCTTTTAGAGGTAATATTTAAACACGTGACATAAATTAATCTATCACTTTTCAGGTATCTATCAGAAAAACACATGAAAGAATTAATTACCCATGTTTTCCAGAAAGAGTTTAACTATTTTTTTGACTAGAGAAATCAACTCAAATCCAATTCTGTCAAATAAAATATGTGACAAGATTTGAACGTGCAAACCTACGTCCTCCTGGCTGCAGAGACGTGTTATTTATGTTTTCAGATGCAAGTTACTGGAGAGCAGAGTCGTCTTTCATACTTCCTTCAGTGCTTATCAAAATGCCTTGCTGCACTGGGCAATGAGATGTTTGGTTGAGCACCTATGGGCTCCACACACATGACTGGGGTACCCCAAATGAGAAACGTGTCTATGTGTCCATGTGCCCTGGGTTTTCCACAGCATTTGCCTTCCCCACAAGAGAGACACCCATGGTAGGAATGGAAAACCCCAAGGGCCCCCGTTAACCCTCCATAACCAGACTTGCCTATCTTTGGTTGAGAAGAAGGAAAGTGAAATATAACAGAGGTCTTTTCCATCTGTGTTTTCTCCCCATTCCCCTTCCCCACTTCAGGACGTTTCCTAATGTTTAAAGACATAATTTATAATGAAATAGTTGAAGCTGATTAAAAAATATCGGGCACGTGTGTACTTATCACTCGGCTATTAAAAATACATTATCACTTGCAACCTGGTTCCCTGTGTTGCTGGAGTCCTGCTATGATTTCTCTCTGGTTCTCTCCCACACAGGTAACCACACTCCTAAGTTTAATGTTTATTATTCTTTAAACTTTTCAATTTGCTAAAAACTTTTCTGTCTCACAAAACTTGATTTGCCTTCTGTGGTATTTCTTTGAGTAATTTTAACTCCTGCTTTCAAAAAGCCAAGTTTCCTAAATAAAACAAAACTTGAGTAGGATCATAAAAAGCTAAATCATCAAAGAGCCATATATGTCTTAGTTTCATTTTAAATATGTCACATTTTGTGTGTATGTGAGAGCTATTTCAGAGGGCAGATAGAATTATAAATTAAAGTGAAAATAATCAGTTTCCCACTAGGCCAGTTTGTTGTGTGTTTTCCAGGAATGGAACACATGACAGGTTTGCAGCAAAAATTTGATCAGCTCATCCTGGCTCTTGCCATGATTTATGCTAGTTAGAGGGAAGGGATTATAAAACCACAGTGCTGGTGGAAGCCTCATTCCTACTGGTTTAATGAACTAGAATATAATATGGTCTAGTTAATTCAACTGTAATTAGTTAGATTCAAATCTTTATTAAGCAAACTAGTTTTCCATTAATAGCGTTAGTTAAATTTAAACACACTAGTGGTATTTATTAGTGAAAAGACACCAGGGAGTCCTTATTCATAAAATGTTTTAGTAGGGGTACTGGGTCTGCCTAGATTACTTATTGTAAATAAACCTGGAATTTATGGATTTATGGGGCAGGACTGGCTGGAGAAAGGGGAGAGGGCGTAGCTTTGTAGACTGTGTAATCAACAGCCTACAAAGCAGCGATGTTCCAAAATGAAAATTTTGAGTATTGTTTCTGCATACATTGCTCAAAAACTCAAAATCGCTATTCCAAACTGAAATATAGTATGTGAAATATAGGAATTCCTTAATTTCTTTTGCAAGAAGAATGGACTATCTATAAGATCTCTCCCCCCCCCTCCCCCTCCTCTCTCTGTCTCTGTCTCTGTCTCTCTCGTCATTTAATGAAACCAGATAGAAACTCATTGCTATCACAATAGGATGCCAAGCCAAGGCTATAAGGACTCTGAATTTGGTCTATGCAAGGTTTGTGTTGCTTAGATACCCATCCAAATGGAGAGGCCACACTATCTCTAATATTAGCCCCAGACAAAAGCAGAAATTGGGCTGAGTCACCTCATTTAAAGAGAGACTGTAAGTTATGGGCCTGAAGGATGCATTCTGCCCACAGATGCATTCTGTTTCGTCCGCAGTGCTTTAAATTTTTTCTGGATTTGAATTGCACGAGATAGGACATGTGTTCCCTGGTTTGCCTCCCATCCCCACCACTTCCTAATGTACATGAACTTCAAGTGTTTACATTATTATTTTATTTTTTGGGGGGAGGGGGGTTCCTTCTGCAAAAACAAACATACTAAAAATAGCAGGGGAATTATTAATTTTCAGACAGGCTGGGAACTTCAAAAACCAGAAGCCAAGCAAACCTTTTGTTTCATTTCAAAGTGAATGGAAAACAGTCCTTAAACAAAATGACTATTGAAAAAACATGACATCTTTTTGGCTTAGACTAGAAATTGGGTCCCCGTATGAGGTCTCCAAGATCAGGTTTCAACAGCCTGCAGCACCTTCCTCTCTCCTGCTTAGATGGAAGACACCTGTTCTCTCACCAGGTCTGGAAGGTGGGACTTTGGGGCAAGTCAAATAAGTGTTTCTGTGACAAAGTCCAAAGATGACACTTAGAAATGTCAAAGTGTGCCGCTTTCCCAAGAAATAGCTCCCCGCAGGAGCAGTGGATATCCCCTGGCTGGGCCTCACCTTGGAAGTGTTGCTCCTGTCCCCTGGCCCTGGGGACCGGTTGCTGTTGCTGCTCCAGCCAGCTTCCTGAAAGATGTCAGGACTCTGCTGATGAACCTGGCGGGACACGATGAGGTGAACGCGCCTTTCACTGGCCTGGGTGACAAGACACAGGCGTTAGCCACTCTCAGAGCTTCCATCCTGAGCATCCAGCATCAGGAGCTTACCTAGACATGAGTTTGCTTTTACCTCTTTTATAGAAAACAAGTGGTTTCTAATATTTTTCATGTCAGGACCCACTTTTTTGTAATTTGACAAGAATCTGAGCTATTTCCTTTATTCTTTATCCAATGAATGGCTCCACTGCACACAGCCATGTCTGAAAAACTTTCCAGGTAGAGTAGGATGTATCGTGTCAAGTAGTAGCCCAGTTGAAACCCAGACCAAAGGTCTAACACCAAAGGTAAACAATAAAGAAAGAGAAATAGAGGTGGTGGCTGCAACACCACCACTGCAGGAAGGCAATTCAGTGTCTGATGGTCTCAAATATGTAGGACATTGGAAAGAAGAACTCCCTAGAAATACAGGGGTGACTTCATAGGTTCTAACACAACCCAAGTAAAGGCCTTTGCCTTGATCTTTTCTTTTTTATGTGGCTACCATTAATTCTAATGACTAGTCCTCTGTTGTATATGTTGATACTTGGATAGAGCATTCCAAATAGCAAATATATCGCTGAGTGGGAAGGTCCATTCACACCATAAATTGACAAGTTGACTTTTTGCCACAGATGAGCTGTTTGGGTGTTTGAGAGCATGGGTCATTATTCTAGAACCACTGATTACGGAGGCGCTAGATCTGCAGGGCAGACAGACTAGAACCTAAGACCTGTGAAATATACATAAATGGGGCTCCCTGGTGCCCCCTGCTGAAGTAGCCACCTGAAGGCATCCATCACTTCAGTAAAAGCTGACAGTGGCTGAGGTGTGGCTAGATTTCATTAGAAACGTCCCCCAAAACAGAGCAGGATTGAGGACAAGGAAGGGAGGGAAGTTTTAGGGGTTCCTCATGTCATCCGCTGACCACTCACCACTGCAGCAGAGCTGGATGTTGGCCAGTCTGCCTTCTTCCTTCGCAGGCATGGCTATCAGACCACAGAAAAGTCAGGTCATGAAAAGAGGCCATGGAAACTCCATGCTCTTCTCCATGAGCTCAGACAAGTGGGAGTTGAGTTGGGAGGCAGAGGCTTCCTGCCTCTTTGCATCTTCCTTCCCACAGCACATAATTCACTCCCACTCTCAGGAACTAGGACCTTGTTTTTAAAACCTTAAGCAGTAAGAACCCCGTCAGTGAAATCAGATCCCCACTGTTGTCCAACATGGACCAGCCCAAACCTTCATGACTTAGCATCCTTATATTAATAAACAGCTCTCCTCAGGGCTCTCTTAAAACTTAGGGGTCATCAAGTGGGTGGTTGTAAATCAGATGAACTTCCAAAACAACTGCTGAAGCACCGTAAGAGTGTCTATTGTAAATGTCACGATAGGTGGTGGGCCAGCCAAGGTGATTTCATTTCACATAAATTCAGCAAACCTACCAAACAGGACCCAAAAAGTTCAAGAACTTCCCTCACTTTCCTACACATAAACCCCAGTCTGCACTTCGGCTGGCCTACCCCGCCATTGTGGACGTACTCTTCCCCTGTTCCTTTGCCTGTCTCGAATTCCCTGGTGTTTTTCATCACATATAAAGCCGGTGTCAGGACAGAACAAAACTAACAAGCCCAGGAAACAAAAATGAAGCCAGCTGACATGAAGAACGATGGTATTAGCCAACTAAATTCAATTCTTGGAAGAATATTTTCTAATAACTTTCTCTTTCTTTATATTGTAAGCCTCGCTTATCCTAATGAGGTTAGCTCTAGAAACTTTCTGAAGCAAAAATTATTAAGAGATAAGAAGTGAGCACTGAAGTCAAAACTTCAATGGTGGAGCCCAAATTTGCTTATCTTCAGGGAAACTCTGATGTTTTAAAGGACCTCGGTTGTGGGTTTGTCTCCAGGCCAGTATATTATATCACATTCACTTTGGACCAGGAATAGTCACATCCCCTAACCACCTCATAAAAGTGGAGAAAATTTGAGACTTACATGTCGAATCAACTTGCCAGGCAAAATCCAAAATGTCAAGGAGCAGCCTTGCAAGAGCGATTTAATTCACATTTTCGAGCACAAATTTCTCACTGGATTTTCAAATGCTGACTTTGGTATTAAGTTGTTGGCAGGAATAACACACCAATAAATAACCCTGGTATCAATTTACGTGGAAATAAATTCCCTGCGAGGCTGGATCCATGGCTCTCACCAGCCACCTTATAAATTGCTCTCAGGGAGACTCTATTTGATGCACTTTCTCTCTGCGTGTTTGAAGTCTAAGGTGGAAAATGGCTAATGTGTTTGTCCTGGCTCTCACTCTCAGGAACAGCTGGATTCAGTGTCGAGAAACAGCCCTTAGCACCAGAGTCTTTCTTTCCATGGATGTGAATCTGGCATGAAATGTGGAGTGAGTGTGAGAAGGGAGTGAGGGGGAGATGCGAAGAGACTGAATGAAGGGGGGATGGCAAGAGCTTGCTTATTTCTTTCTGTTTGGTTTTGTGTTTGGCTTTGAAACTTGATTTATTTCATGCCTACATAAAATGTGCCAGGAAGAGAGGTGAAGTAGGCTTGTCATTTAAATACCAAACCCTCGAAGGAAGAGGCTGCTACGTGACAGAGAGGTAGCACAGCCCCTCTCTTCCAGCTCTTGGGGTGTGACAGTTTGGATGAAAGGGCTGTGTAACAGTTGTGGCTAGCTCACATAGTAGACGCAGCAAGAGCCAGATCCTTTTTACTTGAAGTTGCCTCTCCTTTCTCCCTTAAACATCCTCAATTTTGCTCTGGGCAAATTCTGGACACAGAGTTTACAGGTTGCATAACCTGATTGCTGTACCATATACTCCTTTCTCTTCTAAGAGTCCAAGCTTCCGCTTCCTCTCCCTTTCTCTGAGTTGAGTGGAAGGGGTTCTGATGGCACCCACATTAGTCCCTGTGGACTGGAGCCTCTTGGCAGTCATTCTGTCCCCATGGCTGACATGTGCTGGCTCTGGGCCAGGCACTTCACTAAGAGCCTTGGGGACATCCTACTTCAGGGACAGTCAAAAGCAGGTGGCATGGAAGAGTTGTGGGTAACACACAGAGTTTCCAGAGGTAGAACCAATTAGTTCCAGTTGAAAAAAAAAAAAAAAGGAAAATTCTGATATTCAGAGAAAACCAGAGGGTTAAAACCAAGTACCATTTCCTGTGGAAAGGCTTGTTTTTTGTTGTTCTGTTTAATGGCTATTTTTCTCCATGCATTTGAGATGTGACTCAAAACTGCTAATAATAGTCATATGATGAGAGTAAGCAGAGGCCACAGAAGGGAACCATAGTCCAGCAGCCTCATTTATATTTGACCCATTTAAAAATAATAAAATCCCATCTCTAATATCTGGAAGGAAGAGTCTGGGAGTGCTACACTGTGACATCTTGTAGGGCAAGCATCCTGTTCCATCATGTTCATCCTGTGCATGGCTCTTTTCTCTACAAAATGTGCTATGGCTGATGAAAACTATTCATATTGTCAAGATGCAACATGGACCAGGAACTGCACTGAGCAGAGAGACGGAAAAATCAAAGATGCTCCTGCACAAGGAGCCAGGAGAGGCATTTTGCAGAGCTGAACATTAGAACAGAGGGAGTCTTTCTACTGTCCTGGCATCACATGGGCCCATGAGGTGGCTGAGAAGGTCAGCGATAACTAAAGGCAGAGCAAGAGTTGATAGAGCACCTATAATTCAAGGTGTGAACTTCTCACCTAGCCAAATCCTTCACCTATTCATTTGTAAAGGAGGACTGGAGTTAAACCAAATGCATTTGCTGCATATGTGTATGTGTGTGTACGTGTGTGTGTGTGTGTGTGTGTGTGTGTGTGTGTGTGTAGTACTTAAATAAAATGTTTGGTAAACTATATGTATTTCATGTGGGTTCAGTTACTGTGTTTCTTGTATTAGCTTTATAAAGTTTCAGGTTAAGATTTACCACACTTGTGGCCGGCTCCATGTGCCCCAGGTATTACTCATAGAGACACCTGAAACACGGAGACTCCAAACCAGCTATTGGTCATTGAGATTGTGCTGCTGAGAGAAGGCAAGCCATATACACAGCACCCTTTATAGCACAGTACTGGCCCAGAGGAGACCCATGCTTGCCTGGTGGCCCTCTTGTTACAGAGCTAAGTGAGAACGGAAATGGGATTGAAGCTGACAGAAGCCACTTACAGAGCTTGCCTCTGCTTAGCAATGTCATCCATTAACTTTAGAGGTTTCAATGACCACTTTTTAAAAAACAAAACCACTGATGCTGCATTTCATTCCCCACTGGTTTCTTTTCCAAGGATCCCAGAGCGAGACAATCTAGCTGTAACTGATTTTCAATATATACTTCTGGGAATGGTTCTTTCTACACTGTTTTGGGTTGTCCCACTTGAGCTTCCCTTCCAGCAACTGCTCAAGCTATCATTTCTCAGTTCATCCATCTTGTGCTCTCAAAGTCCTGGGGAACTGTGGAGCGCTGGTTCCACAAAGTTGGACAGTCACAGATACGGAAGAGATGTCAGACATGATCTAATCCAATATTTTCTCTGTAGCCCATGCTTCAATTCCCCTACAAAATCCTTGCCATGTTGTCACCCAGCTCATGCTTCAGGGCCTCCAATAACAGTGAACTCACTGTGTCCCAAGCAGCACTGGCCATTTTTAGAAAGCACTAATTAGAAAGTGTGTCTTCAGGTGGAGCTTAAATTTGCCATTCTCTTGCCTGCCCATTGGTTCTAGCCATGCCCTCCAAGGTAACCCCAAATCAATTTCCATGTGACAGTCCTATTTGAAGACAACTTCCTTGGCTCTTCTCCTTTCCAGGTCAAATCCTCCTACCTTCTTCAATATTTAACATGTTTTCAGGTCATCTTAAAAACTTGAACTCTGGACTCTGATAAAGTTGAGAAGGGCGTGTGTGTGTGCGCCAGGGAAGGGGGGAAGGGAGAGAAGAACAGGGACAGAGGGACAGAGAATGGGACCTAGAA